AAGAATCTTCTCCGAAATTTATCACGATTGAGAGGGTTGACAATCCTGGACCGAGCCTGTAATGACAATCGTGAATTGTTTCACCGTTATAACGAAAGATAATCCTGTACACCATTTAGTTGCTAAACCGGTTAATTAATAGCACATTAGTTCATCGATTCATCTCAAACTGTAGGATAGAAAATCAAGTACAGAAAATAATGAGTGAGGCCAACGAAATGCTAATTTCCAGGATGACTTCTTGACTAGCAGGACTTTAGACTGTGTCGCTATGTTCTGCCTACTAACGCGGTTACTGCTAGCGGACTACATCTGAGTCCTCGTCAGCATTGTTGTGGCGCGACAGACCATCGAGAGTCATACGATGGCGCATTTGTTTGAGACGGCGATAATTCTCTTGAGGGAGTCGATGCTTCTTTGCTCTTTCCTTCCCAATAGCAAGTAGACGGTGCTCTCACTGATACGCTTCTACACTGTCATCACGCAGCGGATTGCCTTCATTATGGAAGTTCGTGAGACTGCCGCAGACCTGAAAGATGTCGTTGCACATACCCCCCCCCAGTGGTACTTGTCGGAACAGACACGCCACAGTGTACACAATCGCCCAAAACGGGTCTCTACCAGAACACGATCACTAGAGACGTCGTCGTTGAACTCTTGATCAACGCGCGAGAGACCCCTTTCTTTCTCTGGATGAATGCAACGCTTCCGTTCAGCGAGGCCTTAACAGCCCTTGATTGTCAGTCACCCCCCCTCATCCGCCAAATTAGCCACTAGCGGCCCATTATCAACCAGCTTTCGGCCAGATTCGGGTTTCAATCGAAGCGAGTCGTGAAACTCAATATTGGTTCTGAACGTAGTGATATCCGGCGTGTTTCCGCGAGCTTGGTCGCTGCAATTGATAGCGAACCCTCGCGGGTTGGCTGAAACCTCAACTTTTAGCCCATACAGCTTATGATTGCCACTGTAGTGTAGCATCACCTCCGACATATTTCCGGCAGGCCGATTTGACTGTTGAAAAGTCACGTCGGTCGTGTAAAGGGCGCATGGAGCATGCTGAAAAATGCGGCCGGTGTGACCAAGTTTCCCATCGTGCGCTCGTCGGTCCTGGCACGCATCCAGTCCTCGTACAGCTGGGGTGTAATCACATGCAGAAAATCCGTAATTGTATTGATGAACGTGGGCGTCTTGATGCGAAAGACGTCTACATTCATGTCCCAAGTACCGTAGTGCTTTAGAACGGACAGCGTCATGAAGAGCGCGTCCTTACCAGTCAATGCACAGCGTCGATCACGGCCCACGTTCTAGTATTGGGTCACGTGTGGTCGCACGCTGCATAGACGGTTAAACTCTTGAGAAGAGTAGCTCGTTAGACGACGAACAGCCTCAGCCCCACCTTCATTGGATCAAGAGTCGAGGATGGGGCAGGGGGAGTCTTGGTCGTTTGTGTCGTCATCGTGGGGCAGTTGGCGAGATAATTCCCAAAACTTGGCGAGGCGCTCGACCTCTCGGTCGCCGAGCATGGCCAGCATGGACTGCTGGTGCTTTTGCTGAGCGCTGCGAGGGTCCATCTTTGGGTGCGGTGGGAGATGAGCGGTGCTGCTTCGGTGGGAAAATTGGCTGTGAAATGAGTAGCATCGCTGTTTTGTTTTACAGTGCCCCCTCGCTCACTACCTACCAGTTATGGCCCTTGAAATGTTTGCTACCAACGATATTTACCAGTACTTGTCGACTCCGAAGACATCTGTCTGATAGTTGGCAGTGCACTTGTAAAAGAATAGAGAATTTCATGAAGAGAATCTCGACACAAATGATCAGTATACTCACTGGTACTGGACACAGTGTTAGATTGCGTGCATGCAAAGCGATAGTAGATTTTTAATGCAATGAAAGACTGCCCGACTTCACATCTCGTGCTTTGTTATTTGGTTCTGTGTGACTTTTCTTTTTGACCAGCTTACTGGTACCTTTTTAATATCATATTAATCGGAAAAAGTGATGCAGAGAATGTACAGCAACAAAGTACTTACGAAAAAAATGAGATCTAATATGAGACGGCGTCAAACGAAAAGGTGCTTACAAACCTAAGTACGAATCGCGATTTAGGCACATCATTGGAAAGAGGATGATCTCCTCTTTTGATTGGTGCATTCAGATCTACAAAAAGTACAAAACTCACTGAGCGACGATCCTCAGAAAAACATGTCTCCTTGAAAAAAACATTTTTCGGAAAAAATGTTCGTAGACCCCTGGAAACAATTTTTCTTACTGAATCGATTGCACCTGGTCCCAGTATCTAGTTTGCATTACTTCCTTTTTAAATATGTGTTTGAAGTTGGAGATCTCAATTTTGAAGGGTATATTTTGAATTTTTGGGTACATCATTTTTATTTTTTGGGGTATTTGGGTATAGGATGGAAGGATCATTCTGATGTATTGCTAACATTTCACTCACGAATTGACCTAATTATCTTTCTTTGCGCGCTTTCGGCTTCGGGTTCCAGTCTTGGGCTGCGCTGGTGTAGCTTTCAACACGTTTGCACGGCCTTCATTCCCTTCTTCACTTTCAACCGGGGCAACCTTCGCCTCATCAGAAACTGCAGCGTCTCTCTTTTTTTTTTGGCACTTGCGTTTCGACGTGCCTGCTTAGCCTCCTTCGCGAGGCGCTCTTCCTCATCCGTAGGAGCTGCGTACAGGGGATCCGACGCAAACTCGGAAGGGACGTACGGTCTTACCTTGTTGTACATTTGCTGCTTTTTCTCGAAATTCTGAGGCGGTGGTTGTAGAGGCTCTAAGTACGCAGCTAGCAGAGTTTGCACTTTTGCGGCGTCTGTCTGTATGCCGTCAAACGACCGGCGAAGGTCTTGGTCCATAGGCTCGTCTGCAGGTCCAACACGGCAGCTGACAACCCCCGGCTTCTCCTCGCTCATTGAGAAGATCTGGTAGCGCTGCACCCCCTTAAGATCCTTATAGGCCTCTGTGACCGGCGTTCGGAACACTTTCATCATCGTGTTCTCTTTCGGGATATGGACAATAGCTGAGCTAGACGAGGAGTCGTTGATAATCTCGAGTAGCTGGTCAGCCGTCCACACGTCCTCTTTAGCAAACTTCTTTCTCATAAGGCCGAAGCCACGGTCAACAGCGTTCTTGGTGTGACCTTTGACGAAAAACTTGAGCGAAACGACATCAAGCTCTCCAGTTTGAGCTAAAGCCAGCAGCATCTTAATAACGAAGTTATTCTTGTTTTGCCCCCCACAATTGTCAGCGTCGATAGTGAGTTTTCGGTGGCCGTTCGCCTGCACGATCCGCTTGATGAAGTGGTACAGCATGCTGTTGACCTCGTCCGTTCCTTTGCCGGCAACCGATTCTTCGTAGACGTAGTTGTACTGAATACCCTTGTTAGCGTAGTAAATTCCAAAGACGTGAACGGTCACCAGAGACAAGAAATACCACTGAGACGGCGTGCTGGTAACACTAGGAAGGGTCAGATTTTGACTGAAATCCATGACGATCACTGCAAGATCCTCCGACACGGATGCCAGGTCTTTCTTGTACTCCAGCCTATACAAAAAGTTCACAGTTAAACAAAATGATCTTTGCATCCTATCTAAACAAAAATGATTCTTGTATCCGTACCTCATCTCCTTCGCGGCTTCAGTATGGACGCCTAGCTCCTCAGTAAGCTCCGTCGTGATACACGACCGCATGCGAGTGTGCAGGATAGTACACAAGTCACACACGTTGCTACGAGAAGACCTGATCCGAATCGTCGGACAATACTGCTGTAGGAGCTTTCGAAACGTCGAAGGGCGGGGTTCACGCACGTCCAGGTCGTTTTCAAGCACATAGGCATTCATCTCAGAGCTGAGCTGATCCCAAGTAAAGTATGCAGGCAGCAGCGTGTAGTTTTCGTCCGTGTACTGCTTGCGTACGTCACCGGCTATCGTTTTCTGTGTGCGGACTCTCACGGGAACAACATCGCCTAGGGTCGAAGCAAACGACCGAAACCAGCTCACCAACCAGCGAATGTCGATCTTTGTAGCGTTCATGTTCAGTAGACCCTTGTGTACCTTGACGGAGAAGGCGCCACGTTGAATTTGACGGCGGTAGCGAGTGATAGTTGCCGTAGAAACGCCGTAGACAGCACACCATGCATCTCTGCAAACACGCCCTATCAGTGGCAGGTAGAACGTGAAAACTTGCCTTTCCCCAGTACCCCGACGCCGCACTGCGGTGTCTGTCTTCATGAGCATCGCCAACGAAGTCAGGACGCTCTGCTTCATCTCCCGGGCAGTCATGATTGATGTCGAGCGCAGGAAATCTTCAAGTTCAGCAGCCTTCCCCTGGAGGCAATGATCGTCGCACTTGTCGTGCTGGATTAAGTCGACCACTGTGTCGTGAAAGTCCTCGCCAAACAAATTGATGCCTCTGTCCTCAGCGAACTCATCCAGTGACTCCACGTCCGAAAGTCCTTCTTGAGCCTCTTCAGCACTTGACGCTGCGCTCGTCTCATCCGAGACAGGCTCCCACACACTGTCGTCGGAATCCATTTCACTGTTGCCTTCTGGATCCGGTCTTAGCGACCCAAGCAGCCGTCTTTCACCGAAAACTGCGACGCCCTGCTCGGACGACGCACTGGGGCTTGCATGACTGCTGGTGGGTGTCGGAGTGGAGGAGGGGGCCGGACGCGTGTCCATTGCTCAGTTGAGTACAAGATCGCCTTCGATACACCTCGAGAAAATGGGTCTGTGTGGGAAAAGGCCCTGTTTGCAAAATATCACTTAAGTTTGAATTTAACTGGCCAATCTTTAAAGCCGTTTTTCTCGATAACTCCAAATGGTTTGTAAGGATCAGTTCGTTTGACGCCGTCTCATATAATGGACTCCGTAAACGGTGCATTTTAAAGCATTTTTTTTTGGCTGGTATGTCATTGCAATTTTTAAGCGCCCCAACTCAGGATCATATTACATGTATTGATTACTTGGCCAGTCCAATTACTGTCAGGTATTGCCTGGCACTCTTAGACCGAGTGCTTCAATGTTCAGATCTTTTGCCAAGCTCCGTTGCATAGTCTTACCAAAGAGCTCCATCTTTTCGCGCAGTTCGCTCCAGAGCTTGAGCGTAACCGGAAATTCTGGGCGGTGCAACTTGCTTTGAACCCATCTAGTGAGTACGACTGTCCTTTTGCCTTCGTCTTTGGCGGATCGTGGGCACTCGCGGACTTCCATCACAGCGACCACGTCCTTTCGAATGCACTCACTTGGCTGATACGGATACTTCTCATCCTCGTCTGCGTAGTCCATCACGATGACCCCATAGTCGCCGTCTTGATGCTCGTAAAATTGGGCAAAAGTAATGGTGTTCGACTCCACTTTTAGGTCTTCTACCGTCGTAGACATGAGTCGATTCTGGATGATACTTCTACTGCCAGCGTCGTCGTCCAAGCGGATGGTAAGATGACCGATTTTCTCGGAGATGCTGATCTCAATGTTGCTGTAGTAGAAGAGCAGTAGATCGTAGATCTGCTTGACACTGCGAGCATCTTTGAACTGAGTTATCGATAAGCGCTCGGAGAAAAAATCACCGTTGTCCATTTCGAAGCGGCGGCCTTCATCGCAGTTGCTTCGTAGGTTGAAGTTGGGTCGACGTAGTCGTAAGAAGTGCTCGGCCTTTGATAGTTTGCTTGTTTTCATCTCTCTCAGTACCTTCCGTCGAGATTTCTGGTCTCTTTTTAAGAAGATAGGGTCATGCATTGGTGACCCAGCTTGTGCGTTCTGGATAGCACAAATCAAGACAATTTAGCGACCTACGTACTAGGGATGAGTTCAATGGACGTGCGTACACATATCGAAAACTCGGCCATAATGGACGCAGCTTGACCGAACTTCTGCTGATTTTTGTGTATATTACGGCGCAATTCTTGTCCGACCTGAAGACTTCTGGCCATCACTTGGTCCGCATGACCCATCCCTGCCATGTTGCTGTTTCAAACCCTCCAACTGCGTATTCAGTTTGGTCAGTTCCTTTAGAAGTCGCTCCTTCTCCTCCTTCAACGTATTATTACAGCTTCATCAGAACCTGCACCTTTCTTCATCTATGCAAAGATTGTCTTACCTTTCGAGCAACGTGCGTCGACTTCCGGTGCTTCCGCGGACGTGAGAGTTTACAGTAGTTTCTTTCAATGAGCATGACTTGTTATAGCTAACTGCATCGTGTTCACCTATCTTCGAGCTTTGTCCGCTCAACTTCAGCTCTTCGTCGTGCCCCACGGGGGCAGTCGCTGCGTGTCTCTTCCCCAGAGCTCGTGGAGATGCTACACTAGTAGCTGTGTCTGTGGCTTTCTCCACCATTACACGCTCGTCTTGTGCGGTAGGAATGCTACAACACCTGCTGTATACTTCGGTACTAAAGAACCAGAATTTGTTTGTGCGTGTCATGTAATCATGGATCAAATGATTGCGCGCCGATTCTCATCTAAGTACGATTCGAGAACGACTAGCGAAACATTTCCCCCGTTATGGCATAACTTATGCCTCTACGAGTTGTACACTTGGGATAAATGCACTGTCAAAGGCAACAGCAACACAATGCAGATTTAAATTACATTTACCAAGGCTATGGTCGGCCACGAAGATTCTCTGCTATCGTTCGATGAAGTGCGCGCCCCCACAGATCCATATTATCTCGAAGCTCGTACCACCCGTCCGTGCATACAAGGAACTTTGGGTAATGCATTCGATTCTGCACCCATCGACACAGCACAGCCACCGACTTACGTGACGCATCACCCGTCACGTTCTTCGATCGTTGCTGCTTAAACTCGCGTATCTCCAGCACAGCATTCACATCTCGACGTACACGTTGACTAGGAACATATGGATGTCTCTCATCTTCGTCTACGAAGTCAGCGACGATTATCCCGTATCTACCGTCTGCTGAGCCGTGTCTCTTGTCCGTACTGTGGCCATAGTACTGTGAGAACAGGACTGTAATGTGACTCCACCTTGACGTGTTTGTGTGGTCGACACCAATCTATTCTGCTTCATCGCCACCTCCGTCAACTTCTCGTATGGTAATGTGGCCGATCTTTTCCGAGATACTGATCTCAATATTGCAGAAATAATAGAGCAACAAATCGAAGACTTGCTTGACACTCGTTGCGTCTTCGAACTGCGTAACTGTGAAGCGAGTGGAGCAGAAATCGCCATTTTCTGCCTCGTAGCGACGTTCCTCGCCCAGCGTGTTACATGGATCGAGGTTGGGACGACGCATTGCCATGAATCTCTGTGCCTTCTCCATCTTCTTGACTTTGATACGTCTCACGTCTGGACTGCTCATCGGTCTTTAGGTGTATAAAGTCTTGCAGGGGACTCCCGGATTGGATGGTCTGCAAATAAAATAGTACTGTCAGCAATTGATACCCCGAGACAGTAGTACGCTTAAGGTGTACTCCGACATAATAGAGGAGAGCTGAGTGAACGTTTGTTGACGCTGGTGAACGTTATGGCGCAGAACTCTTGTGGTCTCGAGCTTCCTCTTAACAAACTCCTCGTTCTCGTCCAATGGATCATTCTTTTGACTACGCAAGTCTGCGATCTGAGCTTCGAGAGCTTCCACCTCTTTCTCCAACTTCTCTATCTCCTCCTGCACCGTCCAGAATAAAACCCACAATTAAATTAACAGATAGCATGCAGAATTAATCCTGCGTTTTTATGTCTAACGTGTGTGTCGCCTTGCGGTACTTTCGCTTTCGCTTGGGTTTCTCCGCAGTCGCTACTGAGCTGCAAGTCTCTCCCTCATCACTACTCGTGCTCAGCAGCTTTGGTACCTCGTCGATGCTTCTCTTTTTCGTCGTGTAGCTCACCTCGTAGCCTCGATTAAATGGCTCCACCCTCGTTATTATCGCTGCTTCTGTTTCTGATATATGTGCCACCCAGGGATTCGTCATGCTCGCACCACTTACAGCTGAGGTACGCGCATTAAAGACCGCTGCGCCACGTAGCAGAGCCGGGTTGGACATTGCGTTCAGCGTCTGGAACGGCGTCTGCGCCTGCGGGAAGCTCGGCGTCAAGCGGCAGCTTGCGACTACTGGATGACGGTCACCCATAATACGCGTCGGTCGTCCTTGCCGCTCGGTGGCGTCACCATTGCGTCGCTCAACGTGGTCATTCATCGACATCTTGTCAAATGGCTCGCAAACAAGCAAGTGATGGTGACGGGCCAAATGTACCTGATATATGGTACAGTTGAGCTACAATCTGGGGCGACTGATGAGACCAAAATCGTGTAGCCATCAGAGAGTTTATTGTAGCCATCTGTCTTTTTACCTTCTACAGCAGACTACGGGGGACAACCGCTCCATCATGGTATGGTGCAGTGTTTGTATCCATCGCTCAGTATTGTCACGCATCTCATGCCACCCAGACTGCGGGATCTCGTATTCAGGGTGGTACACCTTGCTGTGTACCCATCTTGTGAGCACAACAACGCGTCCTTCGCTCGTGTTCTTAGATCTCGTACGCACCCCATGTCTAATCGGATACGACGTGAGCTCCAGCACTGCGGTGAAGTCACGACGAATACGTTCATGCGGATGATACGGGTTTAACTCGTCGTGGTCTACGTAATCCGCCACAAAGATACCGTAGCCATTTTGATGTCCTGCGTCCTCGTCTCCCGGCTCGTACCGTGAGAAATACACGGTGTTCGACTCCATCCGTAGACCTCCAATGGTAGTCGACACCAGGCGATTCTGTGTGATTCCTGGAGCCATATTGTCGTCGTCTTCTCGAATTGTGATGTTCCCCAGCTTCTCCGACACACTAATCTCGATACTACTGAAATATCCCAGTAAGATATCGTACACTTGCTTCACTGTGTTCTCGAATTGCATCGTAGAAATGTAAGTCGCGTAAAAATCTCCGTTTGAGGCTTCGTAGCCATGATCTTCTCGCATAGGTTTCAAAGGGTCTACGCGGGGTCGTCGGTCGTTTAGAAACATGGCTCCATCCGCCAATACTTTGCTCTTTAAGGCCAACAAAGTTGCTCGTCGTGCATGCGTGTCCTTCTCTAAGTGAATTGGATGATGAATTGGACTGCCCACTCGAATGCTCTGTCAGGGCAAAATTTAGTTAGAAATGTACCTATAAAAATAGAAATGTTGAAAAACCTTACAAATAAAGAGTACTCGGACATGAGTGCGTGGATTTTGGTGCATTCCAGTTGTTGCTTCTGGATCGCCCGTCTCAGCACCCTATTGGCGCTCTGCATTTCGCTTGGCGTTCGTGCCTCCACGCCCACACACGTGGCAAATGCACGTGCCTTGATCTGCTCCATCTTGGTGTGAAGCTCTGCCAGCTCCTCTAGCAAATGTGCCTTCTCCTCCTGATAAAACCCAATTTAGTCGTTGATAAAACCCAATTCCCACACAATGTTTCCTTTTTTGCTTACCTTGCGCACGTTGATGGTGGACTTGCGGTACTTCCGCTTGGGCCTTTTGTTCTGAGCTCCCGGTGTTTCGTCTTCGTTGTCTTTCTGCGACTCATTCAGTTCACGCTTCTTGCACACAGGGCTCGAGTCTGCACTGGGTGAAATGTCACTCGGCGTCTCTGTCTCGTCGTCGTCGTCGTGCATCTCGTCCATAGACGCCAGCCACTGCGTTGCCATATCCGTCGCCAGCTGTGTGGGGGACTCGAGCGCCTCGGGCACCGCCACCTTCGCGTTGCCACTCATGGCCGAAAGGTTTGACGCACAGTGCCGAGGGTGCTTGGGGCCGAAAAGGCAACAGTTTTGATGGATAATTTCGAAAGAATTCGATTTTCCAGTCCAGATAAATAGTACTTCCAGTGGCCGGAGCAAAATTCCAGTAAAAAGTTATTGTGAGCCGAGCTAAATAATTTATTGCTAGCTCCGGAAATAGTAAAATTGGTATTTTTTAGTGAAACACCAGGTTCATCCACTTCTTTTCAGAATGTGGCAAGAGCTAATTAGAAGACCATTTTGTTTTGTCGCCACTGCAGTCCACAAATCACCGATTTGTGGACTCCACAGAAGTTGCGAAATGGTGAATCGCCGCAAAGAACATTCTTAGTGGTCACTCACCACACAGAACTCACCTGGACCAGGGGTCCTGGTAGGATTTGGTAAGATCGAGAGCAAGGGAGATCGATCATTTTACAATTCGGTATCAAGATGGCAAGTGGTTTGGACAAAGTAAATCTGGTGAAGGAGTATCTGTTGCTTTGTTCGGACAAGAGCTTGATTGAAACGCTGGAGTCGCCAGTGCTGCTTGGTCCGCTGGATAACATTGCACAAAACTTTACGCCAGTTTCGGTTGTGTTTGTGTATCTTCGGAAGGAGACTTTAACAGGAAACCTGATACCGATCGAGAGACTTCGACGTGCCTTGGAGCGATTGCTGGACTATTACCCGCACCTTACGGGTCGAGTGGTGATGGACGACAAAGACAACGCGCCTCGGATCGAGCAACTTGGTACTGGCGGAAAGTTGTACTCAGCGGAATGCAGCGAACCACTTGAAGCGTTTGAGGCGGTAGCAGAAGACGACGAGCCTGGATCGAAACCTCGACTAATCGTTACGAATCTTCCTGAGGGAGGGAACGAGTTGTTACCACCCATCGATTCGGATGAGCCGATACTGAAAGTGCATATTTCAGGAAACGCTAGCTTCGGGGAGAGCGCGCGAAACGAGAAGTGCCGCCCCCGCAGTTCAGGCGGATGGAACCTTCTAGAACCTTCTAGAAGGTTCCACGGCCGCCCTACATCTGCCTTTTTGTATTACATACTGAATCTATGTTAAACTGAGCATGTCTCTGATTGGCTGAAACTCTACACCTATCATATCTGATACACTCACCCTCCCTCTGGCGTGCGCGTCCCCTCAGTCTTGTCATTCCCGAAATTGCGCTGAAGGCCAGAGGTGCCGTTCCCTGACGGATTAGTCCGACTCCGCGTTTACCCACGCCTGCCTTGTGCGGGCCTGTTTACTTGGGGCTTGGATAGGTCCGTCCTGGGGGATGGCTGTGCCTCCTGCGTCTGCTGCTGCCACTAGCTCGCCTTCCGCCGCTCCCTCGCCTCGCTCGCCGACGCCGCCTGCTTCTGCTGCAGGCCCTGCTGTTCCGGCTGCCATGGTCGATGCTCCTGCTGGTGCTGTAACTCCACCGTCACCTGTACGGGCTCCCGTTGTTCCCTCGTCGCCTGTACGGGCTTCTGTTGCTCCATCGTCGCCTGTACGGGCTCCTGTTGCTCCATCCCCAAACGACGCGGCTGCTGAGCTCCTGGCTCAAGTTTCATGCCTTCCCGTTCGCCTTCGTCTCCTGTTGGCTCCTCTTTGGCTGCGCCTCACGATGCCTCTGCGTCGTCGCCGCCCACCGTGCTCCAGCAACTCATCTACGAGATCACGATCGAAGGGTTGTGTGGAGATGACGTTGGTGGTGATGTTGCGGCTGATGATGATGGTGATGATAGCGTTGCAGCTGAGGATGTTCCTCTTCAAGAGGTTAGATTGTTTAACGACGAAGATGAGGAGGACACCCAACGGACGAAGCGCGCTCGGCTTCGTCGTGGCGATGAGACGTCGGACTGGCATCCATTTCCGCTTCCGAAAGCTCCGGAGAGACATCCAACTACGAGCCATCGCAACCACTATAATCCGGATGCTCCTTGGGATTATGCGAACTCGGCTGGAATTACACGCTTGCTTGACGTCGAAGGGGAATCTCCGCACCGCTGCTATCTTGTTCAGTGGAAGGGTCGTCCGCTGCAGATGAGCTGGGTCTGGATGGAGTTGCTGGACAAGGAATCGACGCGGTACATGATGCAAAATGTCGACAAGTGGAAGGCTTCGGGTTCTGAAATAACATTCATGAAATGGTACGACGTTCATGCTAGTGCTTCCGAAGCTGGTACGTGTTTCATGGATGCGCTCCGCTGCGCGCTGTACCATCTTGGTCGGCCCAATCTGGTTACCATGGAGATGTGGGATAAGTATGAAAAAACCCGTCCCGAGGCGATTGCGTTTGGCGTATCTCGCGAAGACGTCACGGAGTTCTGGAAAACGCTTCAGCGCCAAAGTGTTCCGTTGGACTACGGCATCATGCTTCCCAATATTCTTCATGAATCCATCGGGAGTGTTGCGACTCTGAACCACTTCTTTGAAGCCTTGGTTCCGGGTACGTACTTGGTGAGCGCGGGACAGGATGACATCGGTCACTGTTTCGTCGTGGTGAAGACTGGTCCCAATGCTCGCCTGGTCGTGCTTGATGGGTACTCGGCTGACCACAATCCACCGATGGAAGTGTCTCCTCTCTCGAACTACCTTTGGATTGAGAGTGTAAAGTGGATTAGTCGTGTTCAGCTTCAACTTGGGTACGTGTGTCGCCACGGTAAACGCACTTCGAAGACGGCGCGTAACCGGAAGAGACGCTTGATGCAGCAGTAGCTTCAACTTGGAGGGGATGTAGTACGGGAATACATGTAGGTCTTTGAGCCCCCCTTAAGTTGATTTTACTTCATCTTCTCTTTCGTTTCTTACGCCTTGCAGTCTCAAACTCTACGATTAGATCTGGGACTTGTGACAAGTTTTCAACCGGTTACCAGGTCTGCTTCTCTTCTCCCACCCACTCCACAAGGAATTGGGTCCGTCGCTTGTGTGTCCTCTTCTTCACCAAGCGTTTGACGATCTGGCCGATACTTCCATCAGCCAGTACAACCTCGTTGGGTCGCGACAAGCGTGTCGACTCGTTGTGCGGTTTCAGCGAGCCCGTATTGAATACTGGGTGAAGCTTGTTGCCAGCTTGAATGTTAAGTTCGTAAGCATGGTTATGTATCTTCCGCACAACAGAGTAAGGTCCAAGCCACTTCGGACCGAACTTAGTGGATGCTGGCAGACCAGTGTGCCGGGGGTCCAAGTGTTTGGTGCTCAAGTACACACAGTCGCCAACCTCAAAGACTTGTTCTTTTCGGTTCTTGCCGTAAACATCACGCATTCGCTCTTGCGTTTGAGCAAGTGTTTCACGGCAGCGAAGAAGAATAGCTGCTTGTCGCTCGTGAAACTCAGCGCCTCGACGACTCTTCGCAACCGTATCGAGCTGCTCCGCTGCAAGCTGTAGCAGATTCAGCGGAATATACCCTAGATCCGCCTCGAACGGTGCGAGCTTAGTACTGGAGTTCACCTTTGAGTTGATAGCAAACTCAGCGTTCGCTAAGTGAATGTCCCAGTCGTCTTGACGTGGACTGACGAAGCATCGAAGATACTCTTCGAGCGATCGATTCATTCGCTCAGTTTGTCCGTCGCCTTGGGCCCGGTGTGCTACTGTCATGCTGAGTGACGTGCCGATAGACTTGAAGACGTGTTGCCAAAACGCAGACACGAATTTTCTATCTCGGTCGGATACAATATTCGTCGGCATACCGTGAAGTTTCCAAATGTTGTTAATGAAGAGACGGGCAACGCCTTCGGCTGTTACCTTCTTCGTTGTCGGCACAAAGTGGCATCTCTTGGTCAGTCGGTCGACGACGACCCAAATCGAATCAACGTCACGCTTCGTTCTAGGCAAATCCGTTATGAAGTCCATGGAGATCGATCTCCAGCGCTCATCGGGAATACTCAATGGCTCGAGTAAGCCAGGAGGCTTTGTCAGCCTTGGCTTGTTTCGTCGACATGGTTCGCAGTCAGCAATGAACGTTTGGATCGACGTGAGCATCTTGGACCAGTACCAGCGTCATGCTAACGTTAAGTACGTTCGCTCGGCACCAGGATGGCCACTGTAGTTGGTGTCATGACTCTCCTTGATTATCGATCGTCTCAACTTCACATTGTTGGGAACAGCGATTCGAGGATGGTCATCCACCGGAGACTGGTACCACAGCAAGCCGTTTGCCTCCGAATAGTATCGGTATAGCTTGTGGTGCTGGTGTTTTTCCTACGACTTTGAGGTGCTTGTACGTCGCTGGATTGCTGCCCGGATTGTCTGGACATCTCGATCTTTGACGTAAGCACCCTTGATCCTCTTCAGCAGCTCTGAATCTGTAGACACTTGACTAAGAGCAAGACTGAAGGAAGTGTCGTTGAAGCTGGACACACTCAGGTCATGGAAATACTTCGTATCTGGCTGCAAGTCAGGTCTGCGACTCAATGCATCCGCGATACCGTTCTTCGCACCTGGAAGATACGAGAACGTTAGCTGGTACTCAGCTAGAATGTCGTACCACCTAGCCAATCGGCGGTTCGCCATCTTCTGTGTGAACAACCCTTCGAGACTTTTGTGATCCGTCTCGACGATCGGTGGTTCGTCCAAGCAGTAAATTCGAAAAGCTGCTAGCGCGTGTACGATAGCAAGTAGCTCCTGCTGCTGTGTTGGATAGTTGAGCTTCGCGGATTTCATCTTTCGACTGGTATACGCAATGGGTCGCTCAACTCCGTCCACGACCTGGAATATTACTCCACCAACAGCGAATTTGCTCGCATCAGTGCGCAGATGCATGGACTGGCTGAAGTTAGGGAAGTGCAACACTGGAGGATTACACAGTCGCCTCTTCAGCTCCTTGAAATTCTTCAACTGCTCATCATTGAATTGGATCTTCGCGCTCCTCTTGGTCTTCACTTCAAGAGAGTGAACATTGTTGCAGTAAATGCTGCGTAGTCTGGACAAAATCGTTGGACGTAACCAGTCAACCCAAGAAAGCTGTGAAGTTCCTCTTGTGTTCGTGGTACTGGCCAGTCCTTGATGGTTTGTACCTTGTCCGGATCCATCCGTACACCGTTGCGTCCTACGAAGTCCCCGAGACACGGAATCTCGTCGGCACAGAAGACACACTTGGCAAGCTTGACGTACAGCTTGTTGTCACGCAGGATATTTAATGTCTTGCGCAACGCCTTCAAGTGGTCATCGATGCTCTGAGACTTCGCGAAAACGTAGATGTCATCATAAAACGATTTGGTGTTTCCAAACCTCGGAACAGCTTTGACGTTAAACGATGCATCGTCGCTGGCGCATTACAGACTCCCATGGGCAGAACAAGATACGCCCAGAGTCCGTTTGGCGCTTGAAATGCTGTGAACTTGATATCCTCTTCACGCATACGTACTTGATAGTACGCGGACATCAAATCCATAGTGGAAAACCAGTACGCTCCGGACATCGCGTCAAGAATGTCCTCCTTTCTCGTCATTGGGATACTTTGACGTACAGTGTTGGAGTTCAAGTACCGGTAGTCGTGTACAATCCTCCAGCCAACTGGTTTTCGTACACAGAAGGTTGGAGCAGCATGTGGACTGATGCTTGGACGGATGAGCTTCTTCTTCACCATGTCTACAACCCAACGCACAATCTCGTGTTGCTGCTCTGGTGATTGACGCCATTGTTGCCGATACATTGCAAGATTCGGATCCTCCACGTCAATCCTATGCTCAATCTCGCGTTTCTCGGGTAAACCTTCTGGGAGCTGAGGACGAAACACATTGTCCATGTACTCCATGAGTAACTGGTACGCGGGATTCCCCTTGAAGCTATCCCAGTCCGTATCCAGATACCGTTGTGCTTTCGCACTTCCGACGTTGTCGAAGGTTGGTCTGCCAATACCACGTGTCGCCGTGTACTTGGTTGATCTTGCCGTTGCAGTGAGCGAGCAACTTGCTTGATCGTCACGTTCGTCAGAACCAACATAAAGTCAGGTTCATCGATCGACTTGGTCTTGATTCTCAGGAACTTTCGTAGCTTCTTGCGAGTGATGAGCTTCGTCTGGACACCAGCCTCGTCAACGACACCCATCGTGAGCATATTTTCCACGACAGTGCCTCTGCCCCCAGTACTGCTGCTATCTCCAGCCTCTCGTACAGTACCGCCGCGTTTCAACAATTCCCAGTTGTCCTTCACCGCCGAACCCTTGCCGGCTGACGCGTCTTCTGGTTGTTCGCAAACAACTCCTGGGCTCTCTTTATGCGTTGCGTCGCAAACAGTTTCAGCCGCGGACTTCACAACCGTTTCCAGCGCGGCACCTCGACAGGAAGCGGGTCTTTTCGCCGATAGGCCTTTCGCCTCGACAGATCTCCGAAGCCCGGAGGCAATCACCGGTCCGCCTTCCTCGATCGGTCCACTGGTTTCCCCTGTTCGCTTCCAATGCAGAGTCCTCACTTGCGTTCCTTCGATACATCGACCTCTCCAGTCGATCTGCGGCTGCATATCCTCGAAGAATGGGATTCCAAGGATGCAGTCGAATTCGTCGGGTATGGCGTAGACGACAGCGATACACTTGTATGCCTTGCCCAACCCAGACACCAGGATTTCGAGGGGAAGTACCTTCAGTTCCGTCTCGACAATCTGGTTGTCTCCAAGTTTCACACGAATGTTCCTACCAATGAACTTCGTGGCCTTGAGTCGATGTTTCTCGACCCACTGTCTGGACACGTAGATTGTGGTTGCTCCACAGTCCAACAGCATCCTTTGGGTCGAAATGGTCGCGCCACTAACGATGATTTCCCCCTCTACGGAGAACAGTGGACGCGACTTGTAGACGAGAGGGTTTTCGCTCAGAACGTTACGGCTGACATTCTCAAACTTAACTGATCCGGCTACGTTCTCTTCCACGACAGGACCCTCATTCACTGACGTGGCTGCCCGTTTCCCTGCTCCTCTTGCTCTTTCTTCCAAAGGAAGCAGTTGGTCTTGATGTGGCCAGGTTTCTTGCAGTGGAAACAGGTACGACTTTGGGCTCGTTTCGAGCTAGTCTTCGCCTTGAAACGCCCTTTACCACGAAACGTTTTTTCCTTGAGCGACTTGTCATGACTCGGCGCGTGCTCAGTGGACGGCTTCCGCTTGTCTTGGCGAGTGTGACGTTCGCGCGACTCGTCGACGAAGTGTGTCACCTCATACTTGACAGCAAGGTCCATTGCGTCGCTCAGGGTTTCTGGGCTCTCGAGCTTGACACAGCTACGCGTGCGCGGCTTGAGACCGTTCGCGTAGTATAGTACTTGGTCAAGCACGCTCATTCCTTCAACTCTGAAGATCAAGGCTGAATACTCACCATTGTAGGTCTCGATGTCCGCTGTCTGCTTGAGGCGTTGAAGCTTCTCGCTCAGGACAGACTGGTAATTCGACGCTTCGAAGTGTTGGAGCACATGCTCACGGACAATCCTCCACGTGTGCTCCTCCGCTCGAGCTGTCGACGACCAGTGCAGGAACCATCCGGATGCCGGCTTTTCCATTGCCGATCCGGCAATTCCAGGAAGACGCGTGCTCGTGTCTTCGATTGGAATGTTGTTG